TAGACTGACTTGTTTCTTTTTCTTTTATTGTTTTAAGTATATAGAAATAACACGTTTCCAATTCAATATTTTCATATGTAAATGACTTAGTAGTATCAGTTACATTAATCATGTTCTGTACGCCATCACTCATAATATGAGGTTGAGTTTTAATGAGAAGGAAGTGTCTAATTCTTCTGGGTCTCCAATTTCCTCTTGTAATTTGCAGGTAGTAATCATTTGCCAGGAGCCCTGGTAACTTAGTTGGCTGCTAACCTCAAAGATAGCAGTTTGAAACCACCTACAGTGGGGATGGAAGGGGAAGTGGGAAGGGGAAAAAAGAAAGGATGGTGATTAAGACAAGGCTTTCTATTCCCCAAAGATTTCCTATCTTGGAACCCCACAGGGGAACTTCTATTCTGCCCTATAGGGTTGCTATAAGTTAGAATACTTGAGTAGAAGGCAGTGAGCTTTGAGGAGCCCTGCTGGCGGTCAGCAATTTCAAAACACAAGACACTCTGTGGGAGAAAATGGTAAAGAGTTACTGGTCTTGGAACCCCCCAGGCATCGACTCAGGGCCAACGAGCATAGTTTGTCAGAAGTTCTGGTGGTGGAGTGGTTAAGAGGTCTAATGCTAAGCAAAAGGTTTGCAGGTTGAACCTATCAGCTCCTCCACAGGAAAAAAAAATGTGTGGTTCCATAAAAATTTACAGTGTTTGACTCATAGTGTCTCATAGCCATGTCTCAGGCTGCTCAGCAGGTGGGCCAGGATGTGCTCTGCCCTCTCTTCCTCCCCCTTCATTTGCCCCCGTGTGCTCTGATCAAACATGTCCCTCTCCCTGAGCTGCAACTTCAGTGCTGTCCTCTGAAATAAATTCTTCTGAGGGGAGGTGCAGCTGTCCACGTAGTTGGGATTGGGGCTGGCCCCTTCAGTGTTTGAAACCCTATAGCAAAGTTCTTCTTGCTCTTAGGGTGGAAATGAGTTGGGATAGACTGAACACTAATGGGTAATATTTTGTCATTCTATGTAGCTTTGAGTTGCAATTGACTCAATAATAATTGATTTGGTTTTTTAATGGGGTTTAATGTGACTATAAAAATATTAAATCAACAATAAAAATATTTCTCTCATTTTTTGTAAACAAATATTTCTCTTTTGAAATAGCTTCTTGATACAGAACAGGAAACAGGTGAAGCCAAAATTTTTATATTAAATGTAATAGGAGAGACAGAAGTAATAAATGTCAAATGATAGGTTGGTCAGTTGGAATATATTTGATTCAAGGAGCAGAAGCAGTCTTTGCTTAAGAATCTGTTTGATCCCTGGCTTTATATGCAAGCCCTATCTTCCTTTCTCTCTCATTCTTTCTGCTTATAATTTATTTAGTCAAGGTAAAAAATTTAAAGTAAATGGTTGGTGGGTAGGAAAATATACACCATATCTTGATTTGATTTTTTTCTGGCTCATTGTCTACTTGAGGAAGTTGCAACTACAAGGGACTTTTCCAAAGAATAAGAAAAACAGGCAAATTTAAGCTAAACCACTGCCCTGATATATTCAGGACATACATCTTGGAAGAAATGACACTAACAATCCTTTTGTCCTCCCCCATTGACCTCAGTACCATTCTAGTAACTTTGCATTCTGTTAGTATCCAAGCACCAAAGGAGCTACTCTCTCTACAGGCCCACACCCTGTAAGCTAATTAGCCAGATTCACCCAATCGCATATTTAAGGGGCGCAGGTAGATGAGATGAACATCACACGTCTCTCCCATGGTTTATAAAACTCCAGTAACAACTTGGAGACACAAGTTCATCAAACTTTTATTCTGTCCATGATGTGTGTCTAAGTAACTAACTATATGTTAAGTAAAAACACCAAATGAGTGATTCTTTGAAAATGTGATTCTTTTCAGAAAAACAATTCATGGATTTAAAGGATTTGGAGTGGAGATATTATAAGGGGATTGTGAAATGGACATACAGTACTTCAAGTTCATTCATAAACATAAAATACAACAAGGAGAAGAGATTTGTAGAGAGCCAGAACATGCCTGGTAATATCTCTCCTCCTCTAGTTACTAAGTCTTTGTTTATTTATCCTAAAGTTGATCATAGTAAAGAGTAACTTGTTTGTTAAATGGAATACATAGTTCATGAAATATCTTGGACATGGATTTTTGTTTTTGAGACAGTGTATTTACACAAAAAGGAATGAAAGAAGCAAAGGGATTCAACAGAATACCAGGAACTATCAACATGTGTGGTGAGTCCAGATGGGAGCCATTAATATGAAGCAAAAGATAAAAGCTGATCTCTTTAACATAACAACCTTGTTTGGACTTGTTGAAATCCATGTGGACCAGGGTTGAGATAGGTATAAATTACATGAAAAGAAAGGCTGCATATATGAGAAAAGACTCCCAAAGAATGCCTTTGGGTGGGCATGGGGCAGGGAGAGCACAAGAGCAAATTCATGATCTTACTAATAGTCTATATGTTCAGCAAAGCATTGACACATGCAGGTATGGAGATCAATCTGAGTACTTTAAAATACTGTACATTAACCCTACAAGGACAAGTAGGAAATAGCAAGCATGAAAAAGGAACAGATAGTCCTAAGATGAAATAATAGTAGTCTTCAATAAATTATCTCAATAGTAAACTGGGGAAGCTCCTAGATCATAGCACAAAAAGAGGAGGAAATGAAGAAAGAGGAATTAAGGGTAATGGAGGGTAGAATGAGAAATTAAAAAATACACCTAATCAGAGTTGAAGGAGAATGGAACAGAAAAGAAAACTTTTTTTTTAAATGGCAGATAATTCTTCAGAAAGGAAGAAAGGCATAAAGCCTTGCATTGAAAGAGACTCTCGTTGATTAGCAGGAAATTTTTAGAAGTGTATACCTAGTAGCAATGGAGCAAAACTGTAGAGCATTAAATAAGAATGGAAAATATATCTTACTTAAAGAAAAGATGGATTTCTTACAAGGAAACGATAATCAGATTGGCAGCAGAACTTTCATTGCCAATAGACGTCACAAGATGATGATGCTCTATATTCAAAATGCCGAGGGAAACAACTGTTAATCTGAACTTCTGTAACCAGCACAATTCTCTTTTAAGAGCAGGAATAAAATCTGTCTTAAACCATGGAAAAACAAAAAAAAAATTAATGTCTACAATCCCTTATGGAGAAAACAGCTTCCAAAATATCTACTTTACTTATTTAGACTTTAGCAAACAAAAATTTAAGGAAGCTTTCTCTGCTGGCGCTGGGGGGAAAGTCCTTGTCTCCTTTCAGAGTCTGCGGGCCCAGTGTTCCTCAGAAATCTCCACAGCCTTGCCATCGATCTCCCTCTGATTCTCAGTGCAGAGACCTTGGGTCCAAAGGACACATTCCATACCGTGTCTGTTTTATTCAGAACTTTTGAGAGAGTGCAAGAATAGCAGTAAGTAGTGAAGTTAGCAATACTATGTGTGGACATGTACGTATAGATATTAATATTTCTGGGTTCTACTTTGGAAAATTTCATTTAGAAAATTTGCATCTTCATTTATAAGTGAAATTATTTTCAATTTTCTATTTTTACACTAGCTTAATAATGACTGAAAACAAAAAAAGTTTTTTTAAAATGGCTGTTAATTCTTCTGAAAGGAAGAAAGTCATGAGACTTTTTTTTTAATTAAAATTATGCTGGCTGTAGCAAGGTAAATATCTTCAGGAGGTGATATAATCTAGAAAAGATATAAGGAAAATTTCTGGGGATTCATAATGTTCTGTATTATAAATATGGGAACAGGTGTGTTCAGTATGTGAAGCTCTTCAAGCCATATATGCTCACAACTGTGTTAGCCAGAGAGAGCCAGCAAAGGAAGAAAAAAGACGACAATGGAAGAAATTCTAACACAAAAAAGAGGGGGAGGCACATGTCCCCCATGGCTTTCCAGGACAAAGAAAGGTGAAGGGTAGATAAGATGAATTTTATTATCAATAAATGACA